ATAAGAGAATGAGCACTGTGGGGGTTAGAGGTGGGATTTAGACATGGAGAAGGTGGAATTTGCCACATAATGTGATTATCTGGATGGTTTCCATTTACCTCTTTGAGTATGACTTTACCTGCAGGCGCTTTTCTTTCCTTGCGTGTACAGAAAAGCTTCAATTGGAGCATTTTTCCCTCTTTATCTCACCTGAACTGAAAGTTTTCATGGACATTTATGTATGAAGTGAGTCTCATTAGGTGTAACATTTGGCAGCACGCACAGCAGCTTGTGCCATTCAGCGTCGAGGAGCAGGATAACATGTCTCCAGTTATTTCTGCATCAAAACAGACTACTTTTACTCACACTTCATTTTTAGAAGCCCATTTTAGCTTTTATTGGCCATTCTCCGTAAGCGTAAACACACAAACAGCAATCCCTCTTCAAAATATTAGAGTCTGTGCTGATTGCCGCCACCTGCGTTATCACACAGGCGACGAAGCAGATGTAGGAGAACGACTTTGTGTAGAAAGCACAGCTGAGACGTGGCGTCAAATCTGGCAAAGTGCTGTAAGAATCTGTTTGATCTGCAGCACAGAGGAGAATTCAGCACTGACGACGAATGTCTGCCAGCTGAAGAAAAAAAAACATCCAGACCCACCTACAACCACTGCATGTGGCCTGGCCACAAAGTAGTACACTGCTGGTCAAATATAGTCCAGGAGCTAGAGAGTATTTTTGGTGACGGGTGTGATGTGAACCTTCTGTTCTCAGTTTCCTGTATAGGAAGATTTATGATGAAAATTACAAAAGACAGACGACTGGGTCAAAAGGCTGCAAAACCTGATTCAATCTCAAAATCATTCAGTGGAACAAAAGTAGATGTCTTTTTTTCTTCTTAAATGGAATTTTTGTTTTTTATCTTTCTCAGTTCACCTGCATGCGTCGACACCTTTATATATACAGTCTATGGTCGACACACATCCATGATTTCATGATGCGTTTCACTTTGTAACATACTCTATTGAAATGCCATTGAAACAGCAGTTATACAACATGAAAGCTAGACCAGTTACTCCCGAGTCTCTGAGTCATAAGATGTCACATTCGGCCTCTACGTCCCTCCCTCCAGCCACTTCCCCTCTCATTGCCATTCTCTTCCTGTCCACCAGATGCCCTCTGACTTTTCCTCCATTCCCGGTCTCATCACTTTTGAAATCGCTCACTCACAGCCTTCTAAATGTGCAGGTTCCAGTTTGTCTGCATCTAGCTTCTATCCCAGTCATTGAGTCATTGATTCAGCAGCTTCTTAATGACTGTTTAAACGCCTGCCTGTGTTGTTCAACCTGAATCAAACCAGCAAAGAAAGAAAAAGCAGCGTTACATTAAATTACTACAACCAGTTTGTACTCACAAGGACAATTTGTGATGATAAAGAATTTGGGTTGATGAAAAGTTTAACATCATGGTTCCTTTGTTTAGTGATTTGTGTTCCTTTCAATTACCTGTATCATTTCATTGTAATGACAGATAGTCTAACCAAACACTAAAACGCTCTTCTTGTTCGTCTCTAACAAGACTTGTCACTTTCCATTCAGGTGCGCAATCAAATCAAAGACAATAATTGACTTGTGGGGTGTCCCTCTGCTGTAAGCTTCACTGGCCGTCTGAAAAGGCGACGCTGCCACGAATGAACCGCTCTCCCTCCACCTCTCCCTCTTGTCATGCCAAATGGTGTTTTACAGCATCTGTTCATTATAGATGGCCGACATGATGGATATGGTCATAATATTAATGTAAGACTGACACAGCGGAGACATGAATCACGGCCGACTTTATTTCAAAGCCAGCCTTTCATTGGCCCACCACTAAAAAGTGATATATAAATGTCAACGAATGGCAGCCGTAAAGCGTTACGAAGTACATTTGATGGTGCGTTTTTACCGTTATCAACCCGCTGTTATTTACTTAATGTGTCTTCTTCATGTGACAGCAGTCTTTTGCACATTGTGTATTTAAAGTCTCCATCTTTTGTCTTCTTCAGGTGATGGTTCGGCTGGGAGAAGATGGAAAGGTAAGATCAGGCAGGAAAAAAGAAATGTGCTCATATGTAGTGAGTGCCTTCGGGTAGGGAAGCCCAAGAATGACTTTAAATTGAAAGCATTCAATCAAATTGAACTTTCATTTCCCATATGTATATACCATCTTCGACAAGGGGTCGTTACTCATTTCAAACCATGCATTCAGAGGGATTTGGGTTTTTTCATAAAGCATAAAGAAATGTAAAAATGGGTATGAAAATCTGAAAAATATAAGTAGCACTCTGTAGTAATTCCGTTATTTGTTTCAATTGTTTTGATTCATAATCGTAATAAGAGAGAGAAGTATGTTTGACCAGCTGTTCTCATCGCAACATGATCTATTAATGTCGTATACTGCAAAAGGAAATGTAGTAATACAAAATGATATGGAAGCACCCTGGAGACAATGTTACAAAAAAGCAAAAGCAACACCAATAATACAAATATATTTTTAAATGTAGGCGTATTTAAGATAAATTCATTATAAAAACATCACTCGTCTTTTCCAATTTTCAGATAAAATAAGCAAATGATCCCCGTCTAACTGCAAATACATGCTTATTGAAATGTCCTCCAATAAAACAAAAATAATTGCCAATCAGTTAGACTTTAATTATTTCAATTATAATTCAAACTTTAAACCATGAATATGTATTTCATTTGGCTACTGCTCAACAAACTTCCATTTGAACTTTGGCAGCCACGATGATTTCTCAAATATGTTTCAAAATGAAAGCTTGAGTGCATTTCTAAAATACATTTGGTTTGAATGTAATGATTTGAGTTGGCTCGTGGCACTCCGGACGGCTGTCAGTGAGTTGGGAATCACGATGGAATAATTATCCGAGCTAGCATCAGCGTCACTTTCAGTTTGACGTGATTGAAGAGGCTCGTGTTTTCAGTCGGGCAGATTTAAAAGTTAGAAAACTCTTTGGCACTTTCTGAAACATCGAGCATCAGATTGAACTGTGTGTGTTGAATGTTATGTTACTGCACAGATATGATTCAAATATTTGATGTAAACTTCTTAGAGGCTCAGGCTCACTGGAACTTTGCACCCCGATCTGATTCTGGTCTGGTTCTAGCCTCACAGTAAACAACCTGTAACAAACTGTCCATAACACTCTGAGTCTCTCTCTCCTGCTCTCAGAATGGATGTGTTCAGATTAGTGACTGCCTGCCTGTAACTGTAACAGCATGTCATCCTCTGAGAGAATCAAACAGCCGTCAAACTTACATTTATCACAACTTATAGTAGTTATAGTCAAAAAAATGGATCATTTTGACCTTTGTTTTAGTGAATTATTATGTTATTTCAATACATCTATAATATAATCCAACACTACATATGGCAGTGTCTTTATTTTTCTCATTTTACCCGCTTAAATAATTTATTTCTATGAATTCTAATTTATTTAATTTATTAGTTAATTTGATGTTTTTTGTTATTTATACATATTACTATTTAAAATAATGTCCTTAATGTAAAAAAAAAGGCTTTTTGACTTTGAAAATGCGTGTTTATTTGTATTAATACTGTGTATATAAATACAAATCATTTTGATAAGTGCATGAACAGACAAACTATTGAATAAAAATGATGTATACTGTATATACATATGAAATAAAGGAAGTCCAGGTTACTTATTCAATAGTGCTATTAATATATGTAAATAATTGTTGAAAGCTTCATACAGTGCTCTGTCGTAGTAAGAGCTAGTGTTCCCTTTCTGATCAGAAAATATTAATCTTAGTCATTTTCTCATCAGGAATTCAGATTTGAGTTCTGTAGCTGCATTAGGAGTTTCAATAATGTGGTGTTGAGATTTCTGAGGCTTTCAGTGACAGTGTGGTCACAACCTTAGTCTCTCCACCCTCATATAATGACAGATCTGAAAAATGAAAGCCATATGTATATCCAAGAAAAACATGTTTTTCCCTTTAATAGCTCTGGAAAAGCCTCCATCAACTGAATACAGGAATGTTCTGCTTATTGACGCTGCACACAAAAGCAAACATGAAACACATATAAAACAAGGTGGAGCGTTAGGTTTTTAACTGCTAATACAAATCATATGAAGTTTTAAGTAAACATTTCGGACACAAAGGCAATTCAAAATGCTAGTAGTGAGATTACTTTGTGTTTACGTATTTTTTTAAATACAGAAAACATACGAGTAACACATGTACCAATACACAAGTACAATAAGATTAAAAAATATATATATTCAACTGTAACAGACAAAAAAAGACAGAATAAATCAAGTAATGCAACAATCTAAGAACCTTCAGTGAATAATGATAATAATAAACTGTGCCTTCACAAGGTACTCCCCATAATACAACATCATTAAATCTGGATTAAAAAGAACATAATACACAGAAAACGCAATTTAAAACAAATGTCTATGTATGATATAATTCAGCAGACTCAATGTAAACGTCCTAATGTTTATTAAAAAACAACAAGGCGCCCTCCTGAGCCTCTGATTGGCTGCTTGTCTGTGATGCTGGAGGAAGGTTAATTTCAGTTAATATCATAATCACTGCAACTTAAATGGTCAAGTGGCCTGCTAGATATACAGTGTGTGTGTGTGTGTGTGTGTGTGTGTGTGTGTGTGTGTGTGTGTGTGTGTGTGTGTGTGAACAAATCCTGCATGACTTGCCTGGATTGCCTCCGCGGTGTTACTGTTCGCAGATAAAAAACAATCTTCGTCTAATATTTTTTCCATGACATCAAGTAATGTAAATTACGACGGGGTGTTGGTATGTAGTCTGTAATTACACATCACCTCCCTCCCTCTTCCTCCCCCCACACCCTCCTCCCCTCCCCTCCCTGTTCTTCTTCACGCCGTCAGTGGTTCTCGTGTTGGGGTCTGCTCTCTGCTTCCTGTTAGAAAGACGACTGCTGCACCCTACAGTTTGAAACTCTTCCCTCATGCAAACACTTCTCCTTTTCTCTCACTGAAAACTGACCAATGTTCGCGTTTATTCAATATAAAAACACTAAGGATGCTTCTCTGACGATGAAACTCCTGACTATCAGACGGTATTTTTAGTGTGTTTTTACTAAACTTCGTCTTCCTTTCGACACGGTAATGAATGAATAAAGAGTTTCAGTGTCATGCTGAAGCTTTAAAGTGCCTCCAAGTCTTCAATAATTACAGCCGTCTGGTTTCACTCCCGAGTTTTACTGTTTCATGATGGGCGAAATGAAATATCAAAGACTTTTCTCCCGTAGAGAGGAGACTTTTCTCAGCATATAAACTCTGAATATTTGCTAGAATTGATCATATTTAACTGAATTTACACAAAATATTGTTTTATTTTTTACCGCATTTCAAAATCGTGATTTATCTAGTGACAGATATCAATGATTGTCTAATAAAGTATTATTCTAATTTAAAAAATATGGCAAAGCCAGCAAGCGAAATCTCAAATCTAACTGTAATCCACATTACTTGCTTGTTGTAAATTATATATGAAGATATTTGCAGTAAAATATTAAAATGTAAGACTTAAGAAAGAATGAAAATCTGTTTCCACAGTTTGTCATTAATAACAGTTCATATGTTTCTGTTATGGTGTTTTTCCTCTTTACGCTGGCCTTTTTAATTAGAGAATCTTGCTCAATACTTGATTTATTTTTTGGAAATATTTAATTAAATATATTGTAAAAGTTACTGGCATTCAAAAAAAAAAGTGCAGATACTCTGAATATAAGAAACAAACAGAGAGAGAGAGATAGCGTCATCTCTTTAGAGCTCGATTTGGAGTTTAATTTAATATAATATCATCTGCTTTTCTGTGTCCTAATGCAGCTGGAATATTGCATACTTTTGAGTGCAATATTTAACACAGTCTTATAATCTTCCTTCGGGAAAAAAATAAAAAGTCACATTTGATAATGTGTATTTAAATATGTGTATGATAACCTAGCACTCATTAAAGGCACCTAAGGGTCTGATTAGTTGATTATGAATGCTCCTAGCTTCAGGGTCACCACATCTGACCTTTCATCAGTGCAGTATTTCATTTAGATTTTTTTAGGGCAGCTTTTAAATTAATAATGTTCCTCTGTTTTGTTTATTTTCTTCTCCACCTTTTTGTGTACATTTAACAGATTATTTAGCTTTTTTTTTCAAAATGCAGATTTCATATAGAGCTAATTTAAATCCTGAATAGTAAATAAAACATATGAACCAGTGAAATATGTCTTTCTGACAGTTTGAGTAACACCACGGTGTCAGTTTCTCCTCTCAGCCATTCCTCGATAGCTCCTGTTCCAGGATTAAAGATGCCGATATTCACAGATGTATTCAGTGTCTCTAAATGAGCTTTTTCACCACCCTGAACGTATACCTCACTTTGACTGGATTCAGTTCAACTAGAGATTTGTCAAAGTGTGCACGACTGCAGCTGTTTAGTTATTAAAAACAGAAGTATGTGTCAAACTGCATCATATTCACAATAGCAGAAATAGATGATCCGTTTATTCTCTCAAATGTACTCTGAATCAGTAAAGAGTGCAAAATATCAGGACAAGACGAGGTTTAACTCAAAACGTCATAAATACCTCTGGTAAAAGCAGAACAAAACTGTTATGCTTCAAACTTTTTTAAAAGCCACACCCTGTCATCATTTATTCTACACATGCTAAACTCTTATATACAAGTATTTCTATATTTCTCCATTCTCAGAATAAAAAACGTATCTGCATGTGTTCTTGAATATAAACAACAATAATATATGTACACACATCCATCCAACATATAATATATCTCTTTATGACCATTTAAGTCATTGTGATCTCTATTTATAAGCGTGTCGTGCATTATAGTAATTGTATCATTATCTTGTAATTTTCAAAGCAATGACACCAGTATATAAGTGTACTGGATAATGATCCATGAACATATTTAATATACAGATGCAATCACAATAGACGTACTGTGTCTCACAAATTAACTGCCTATTTACAATATGTGTCAGTGTATAGCCACATGATATGTAATTCATTGCATATATAATCCTGACATCATTAAATGCATATGTGCAATTAAAGTGTAATTATCCTGGAGCCATCATCAGCCGCGACCTCAATGATGAGTGTAAAGGTATACAAAATAAAGCTTTAGTATTTCTATTTAGATCCTATTTTTACAGGAAGACATGATAATTTAGCATCTTACCTGAGGTCAGTTTACAGCAGGACTGAAACTCGGACCAAAACACCCAGAGACGCAACCCCAATGGAAACCTGCCAAAAACCACTGCTGACACAGAAAACAGCTTTTCATTCATCTCATTTGATCTGCTTATCAAACTCTTATAAAGAGTCAAATGTAGTCTTGCACCATATAACATTTAGGGTTAGGGTTAGGGTTAGGGTTAGGGTTAAGGTTAGGGTTAGGGTTACGAAAAAACAGATTTTCTGTCTTTTTCAATTCTGGCATATTCACACTGTCGTAAAAAGTTTTTAGGTATAAGACACTTTTGGTTGCAGGGCTTGAGGTCAAAAGTCAAATAAATTAGTGGAAAATAGCTACATGTCCTGTCCATCACTCACCATCACCTTAATAGTTGTTTTTCCTTTTATTTTTGCTTAATTTCACAGTTTTTTTTATGTTTTCTAGATCGTTGCCGATTCCGAGTTTTTTGGTCCTTGCTTGTTCTTGTTGTGATGTTTTATATGTCGGTGTAAGAAGTACATATATGTGGTGTTACACACTTTAGAGGACTTAATGTGCAGCATTTTTGATGATAAATTGTGAAAATATTGGCTGCTTTACAGAAAAACAACAACATTAGACACAACTGTCCAAGATATACAGTAGCATAGTCGAGATTCTTATGATAATAACTCATTTCCTAGCTAATCAATATGTCAAAAAGTTGAAGTGCAAACACAAACTTAGATAGGCAAATAACCTCTGGAAAAAGGGCTTTATTTTCTGCTTCTAGTTAGGGATGAGATCTGTGCAGATTATCTCAAAATGTGCTCTTATTCTGTCCCAGGCGACTTTAAGCAATGATCCTTCATTTGTCTTCATTCTGCGTTTTTAAATACTTCCCTGAGATTACCTGTCAAATGTGTCAGCGGTCGAAGTTTAAAGATTAAAACCCCAAGAATATCTGATTGTGCTGTAGTTTGAATTTAATCCAGCTTTAGTGTCTGAGGAGGAAGGGGGGGGGGGTTGAAAGTTGAGATGGAGACGCTTTGACTTGACTTCTCTCTGGCCGCCTTAAGACGAGCCGCTCGGAGATAGACGCAGTAAATAGAAAACAGCGATTGTGTTTCTTCGCTCTGCCTCCCCCTCCCGTAATCTGATTGGGCACGTTCCACCGAATCGAGGGCAACGCCAAAACAAAAGATCACCAATCAGATAGAGAGGGGCTCCCTCTGAACTTCTTGGCATGCTATGAATGCTTCGCCCTCTCATGTGCGCTAGTATCTAGCAGCGAGATTCCCCGTGTCGCTTTTATGTGTTAATCGTCACCGCTCAGTGAGACTATTGTGCTGTCTGATCGCCGGGGAGGAAACCGCCAAAAAAAGGGGGTGTTGAAGGGGGGGGGGGCAGTTTATATGGGGAATGAATGCGAGTGGCGCAGACTGCCAGCACCGTTTCACACGAGCTGAGAGTCGCCTCATCACCCCGCTGACGGAGGTCCAAGAGTGCAATGTGCTGCTCTGCTTCCACAGACTCCTCTAATTGGTGGGACTTTGCTTAAATATTCTGCACAATCATCACCTGAAGATTTAACAGAGACAGGTGCTAAAAAGTTCTGCCAGGATTTACCTGTGGTCTCTTCAAGGTTTCACATCTGTGGTTTAGCTCACCTGTCCACACTCTATGATTTATGGGACGTTTCAAAGTTTAAGTGGAAACAGAATCTCTCAACTCTACACGTTGAGTGTCTGTAAGTCCTTCTTTCAGGAGGTGCATTATGAGAAATTCATGTTGCGTGAACAAACCGTGTTGATACTTACATTTTAGAATGTACCAACATGTTAAATGCATGTAATGATGGATCTTAAACAAAACGTGGCGTCTCTAATTATTATATTTATGTCATAAATACAAAGCCATGCAGTGGAAACGTTGTATTGTCCCTAAAAGTAAAGCAATACTCTTGTTGTTCTTTAGAAAAGTAAAGTCAGTTATTAAGTTTCAAAACATTTTCTTGTCATTCTTCCTAAAGTCTTTATTGGTCCATCTGTATATCCATATTGTACACCAAACAGTTTCCACCTTTATATCCCTACATATTCCCTAGTATGGGTTAGCCTCCAAAAACAATGGATCTTGCATTGTCCATAATGTAGGTTAATGTCACTAAAGACTAAACTCAATGAATACACACAGAATACACAACACAACCAATGTTGTCCCCTTCCTTTAACTTGCAAAGGCTTTTCTTAAGGAAAGAGTCACATAGCGTTTGAAAAGTAACAATGATGCATCTTTTTGCACTGTTTTTTGAATTTCAATGATTACAAGTTTTATTAGTATACCATGGTGGAAACGAATAAGAATGGTTGTCCTTTCTTATTTGGGACTCCCGTAAATTCGTTTTTTTCTACTTAGTTATACATGAAAAGTACAATGAAAGCTACTGTATATTCAGGGGTGCACATAACTTTCTCAGTGAGTTACTCAGATGAGTACCAGGAGACAATGTGTGGTACCACGCAAAGTGATGTGTTCAGCCCCTCGACGGTGGGGGGGTGCGGGTGTGTGCTAGTGGAGCAGGCGCGTAGAACTCGCGCCGGAAGTTGTGGCACAATTCCGTTGTACACGCCGACGTTAACGGCAGCCCCGTCTGTGCGCACGGCGACCAGCTCTGTCGTCCGGTGATCTAAGCGCCTTCTGAAAGTGCTTCAAAAGTCCGTCGGTACCGTAGGTCGGTATATTATATTAAGATGAAAGGGGAAATAGTTATTTACTTTTC